CCAAAACCTAAGACTACATTTTTTTCAGAACATGTTATGGCTTGTGTCTAGTTATCTCCCCTAAAAGCAGCATGAAGTCATTAGATGAGGCTTGTCCAGAGGTGGCTGGATCTAGAGTGTGTAATTAGGGCATCATGCTAGGATTACAGTTGTGTGATTACCAAAACAGTGCACTGATTGGTTTGACACTGCCCCAATCGTAGTAGCATCAGTAGAATGCACAGGAGGTAGGAAAGAAAATAATAATTAAAAAAAAGCTAACTGGGGCTGGAGAGATAGCTCAGTAGAATAAGCGCTTGCCTGCCAAGCACAAGGTCCTGAGTTCAATCCCCAGTTCTGAAAAAAAAAAAGCTAAGGTCCCTTGTTGCTTTTGCAACATTCCATCTGGCATGAAAAGTGCTGCTGGAGCAAGCTACCAGCCTTGGAGCCCACAAATTATGGACTGAAACATCGACACACTGTGAGACGAATAAACCGTTTCACCTTTCACTTCAGTTCTCAGGTAGTTTGTGTCAGCAACAGGAAAAGTAACTAAAATAGACCTCTTACCTTTTCCAACTAGGAGTACATAAAATCACTAATAAAATCAGTACAATCAAAGTATCCACAAGCATCCACAGGATCCACATGTATCCAGAGCTATCCAGAGGTGTTGTGTTAGTTTCTGCAGAAAAGAAAGAAAGAAAAACAGGAGAACAAAGAGAAACCATTGGCATGAGCCTAAGACACCCCACACAGTACAACTGCTGCTAGCACCACTGAGCTTTGGGTCACTTTCCCGTCAAAGGATCCCACGACCAATCGCAAGCCAAAGTTCTCAGCATCCCCACTGCCATCACACATCTCCCACATCTGAGTACAGAAAGGCCCAACTTAGGAATGTTTGAGTTGGGAACTTTCGCAGATACAAATGAACCTCAACTTGTGAACATTCATAGATGGGAACAAACTGAGCAGGAGGATTGATACGAGCTGACAAGTAGCCCTGTTTCCATCTGATGACTGCTGACAAGCCTTTCCAACGTCCACAGCATATGACTGGACACAGGAATTGAACTCAAACTGTGTGGCCTCTGAGCCTGAGCTGGCCCAGACCCTAGCTTGTACCTTAGCTCAGCTTATTTCTTTTCCCTGTCAAATGCTAGCAAGGAATCTGGACTGGCCAGGAACCAGAGAGATGCATGATATACCCTAGATGTAACAGTGAGGAAACAGGACCAGGGATATAGCTCAGTGGCTCAGCGCCTGCCTGGCAAGTGCCAGGTCCTGAGTTCCATTCCCAGTTCCCATAAAGAAATGAATAAAGGAACAAAGAGTGAGGATGTAGGCAAGAAGTGCCTTACCTCCCACAGGCACTGTGATGTTCAGCCTCAAGGGAGTGGGCAAGGATGGGTGCCGCACCACACAGTAGAGGTTGTCTTCTGTAGAGTTAATTACCAAGTAGCTGGTGATGGTGAATGTACCATTCTCATTCTTGATGACAGGAGCAGTCCAGTTGCCCTTGGAAATCACTTGGTCCTGGGAAGCACTGTGGTTCCATTTCACCCATGTTATGTTAATGTCTTCTGGGTGGAACCCACGGCACTGGCACAGAAGGCGACTGGTGTGACTTTCTTTATTTTTCTCTGTGGCTTGTTCCAGAACCAATGTGCAGTTTGGCGGAGCTGCCAGGGAAGAAAAGATGAAGACTTGGGCCCCAAACCAGCTGCCTTTTTCTCTCTTTGCCTCATAAAAACTGTGACCTCCACTCAAAGACCAGAACCCAGAGGCAGGGAAGGAGAGGAATTGAACAGTGAAGAAGGCAGTCCAATGCTACTGGACATGGTGATCAACGGCAACATCAGCCTTAAATTGTGTGCTGCTGGGATGTGTGACGCAAACTCCCCTCACCTCTGTGACCATCCTCCACAAACCAAAACCCGGTCACATCCTAAGAGCAGCAAATGGATTCTTAGAGAGTAGCATTCCCCAAATACTTAGCCACTACTCCTGAGAGGTGCCCAAGACATCAAAATCAAGAAAAGTTTAGAGGGCTGGAGAGATGGCTCAGTGGTCTAAAGCACCTACTTGAAACAAGCTTGGCAAAGCACAGGGACCTCGGTTCGATCCCCAGCACCACATGCCAGCCAGCCCTGCCCCCTGGTGGGCTGAGCTGGCCACACACACACACAATAAATA